CTAGGCCAAGGGGGAGCCTGACACACTCTCCGTTTGGGTTGAAAGCGAGTAAGGAGCTGGGGTGACGAGGGAGGCCTTTCTTTCTGTTTCATTATTCACCTCGTTACCTTCTGTTCTGGAGACGCAAAAGTAGAGGACGTTACACAAGGGGTGTTCTTGCACCCACAGCTCAGCACCGCAGTACCAGTTCTTGGGCAATCTTGCTTCACAATACAAACCCCTAACATTTTTCTTCTCTTTTGTTCTGCGCTTTGTTTGCTGTTTGCTGTTTGTTTGTTTGTTTGTTTTCAGGCCTGAGGAGCCAGGCAGGACCCCAGGTGAGTGTTCTACCATCCCGCCACACAACCCCCACCCTCCCAAGCTCCTGGGCGCAGCACTGACTTCCTCGGGCTTCGGTTCCCTCATTTCTAAGGTGAGAGCCACTCTGCCCGCTGACCGTCTCTACATGCTCAACCAGCAGGGTAGGTACTGTAGTCTGTTTGATGTTGCTGTAACAAAATACCTGACACTAGGTACCTTGTAAGTAAAGAAGGTGATTTGGCTCACAGCGCTGCTGGCCGGAGGACCAAGAGCAATGGCACAGGCGACCTGCCCGAGGCCACCTGGCTGATCCAATATGGCAGCACAGTGGCCGGGTGCAAAGTGTGAGCAAAGAGCAAGGGCTTGGTGTCCACCCCAACTCACTCTCTCCGGAACTAATCCACCCCACAAACGGCTTCAACCACCGTGAGCTCAGAGCCTCCTGCCCCACTGTGCTCCCACTAAGCCCCACTCCTTTAAAGCCCTCCACCAACTCGGCCACTTGGGCACGAAGCTGAGGGACAAGGGCCCCCACGCAGCGGGCGGTGCGCGCCCTGATTAGCTCATCCTCCAGGAGCAGACTTTCCGCCCAGGGAAGCAGAGCTGCCGGCGTCCACAGGCAAAATCAGAAACCAGGTGCCAGGTGGCCTTGTGCAGGGCTTTCCCTGAAGGCCAGGGAGTCTGAGTCCGTGCCTACGACAGACACGAGATGCGGCCGTCGGCAGAGCTGTGACCAACGCAGAGACAGGCGTCTGAGGTCTGCTGCCAAAGAGGAGGAGGGAAATCAGGGAGAGGAGCAGGAGAAGACCACATTCCAGTCCCGATGGAGGAAGCCTGCGAAGCCCGCACTCTCCGAAGTGCAGGACTTGCTTTCCCAACCCGACTCATGGCCATCGCGTGTCGGTCACACGTAGCCAGAGGAATGCGACCTAGCACAGCACCTGCCTCGTGGCAGCTCACGGCGCCCTAGTTACTACCTGCTCAAATAACTCAGTCGTACTCCCACCTCTTCACTCCTGCTAGGCAGGGGGAAACACTCCAGTGCTCAAGTAAAAGCATATATGAGAAATTCAGTAGAAGCCAGGCATGGTAGTCCACCGGGTAATCCCAGCACGTGGGAGGCTGAGGCAGGAGGGATGAAATGAGTTCAAGGCCAGCCTGGGCTACATAGCGAGACCCTGTCTCAAACACATAACAAAATGACAGCAGAAACTCAGTAGAAACAGTGAGCTTTAGGCTGTGACTTAGAACCCTTATGCATCTATCTTTGTACCCTTCAGGGCTATAACTAACATTTAGGCATCCTCTGTGGTCCACAGGGAATTTCCACAAAGCACAACACTGCCCAGGGTAGTATAGTGCAGGCCACCAATGTGAGCCATCGATGTAATTTTTAAATTTTTAGTGCCTGGATTAAAAAAATTAATTAAACAAGTAAATTAATTTTCATAATACATTTTATTTAACTCAGTTGGTACAAGGTATTGCCATTTCCACATGTAACCAATGAGGGGTATTTTCCCCCAACGTTATGCATCTGAAATCTATTGTGTTCTTTGTTTATACCTAGTAGCTTGGACTGGCCACATTTTAAATACTCAGTAGCTACTCATAGCTTCCAGCTACTATATTCACCAGCACAGATATAAAATGTTTCAACCTTCATAATATCTCTGAGAAGACTAAAGCTTTTGTGACGGTAGCTGAGAAAATTAAACTCAAAGGAATGAAATCACTGGGTGAGGTGGCACACGCCTGTGATCCCAGCACTCAGGAGGCGAGGCAGGAAGATTGCTTCAAGTTCAAGGCCAGCCTGGGCTGCACAGTGAGTTCAAGGTCACCCTGCACTGCACAGTGAGACCCTGTCTCAAAAAAACAAAACAAAACAAAAAAATTATTTTATTTTCACAATCAACAGCTAGTCAGTGCCAAACTCAGGCTCCCACCGTGGCATCTGGCCCACCCGTTTTACTGCTCACCGCCTGTGTGCTAAGAAGGTGCTCCCGGGCTCTGAATCAGCCCCTTGGCCAAATAAGGAAATCACGACACAGCCTCGGCCATGAAATGAGAGGGACAGTGGGACAGGCACCGGACTCTTTTCAGCCTGGTCACAGAGCCTGGCATGGGCAGAGGAACTGTAATGAGAACCTCTTGGTTCTGTGGGTTTACAAATGAAATATCTTGGCTCCTGGCACTGACAGCCCGACCCCCACCAGACATTCTTCCCTGATGAGCTGCCACTGCACATGAAATCATCCACGTAAACGTGACCTGTGGCTCCTGCTCCTGTCATGCACACCCCATATTTACTTCCTAGGTGACCAGAACAACGAGCACGTTTTTACCCAAGTATTTGGCCCCCTGTCCACAGCTCCTGAACCCCTCCCGAGCCATGGGGTGAAGGAACATCTCTGTTATGATGCTGAGCTTTAGGCCTCAAAGTGAAACCTCTCTCTGCCCCCATTTTCTCCCCAAGGCAGCTCTTAAAAACTAGAATTGCAGGGGCCAGGGATTTAGCTCAGTGGTTTTGCTGCCTGCTGCGTAAGCGCAAGGCCCCGAGTTCAATCCCTGGTACCAAAAAAACCCACAAAACTAGAATTTCAGCCACGGATTTAGCTCAGTGGTTCCGCCACCTGCCCCACAAGCGCAAGGACCCGAATTCGATCCCCAGTACCAAAAAGAAAAACAAACAAACAAACTAGAATTTCTGCTTCCTCCAAGCAGGTCCTGAAATTAAAACTGTACTACAGTCTGCTGCTTTCCTGTCTCAGAGCGGAGCTGGCCAAGAAACACTTCTGGCCAAGGCTGACAGCAGGTAAAGGGGGTCCCAGCCACCTCCAAGAGAGGAATCTGGACTGACAGGCGGCCTCACCGCATACAGGGGAGGCCACAGCCTTCTTGTCCCAGCCCATTCTACATGTCTTCCGTGTGTGGTCACACCTGGATGGCCAGGCGCCCACACAGGCCCAGAGGGCAGGGCTGGGAGGCTACAGGAGGTGGACAGAGCCCAGCAGCTCCGTCGGGAGGGAGCCGGGACAGGGTCCTCCAGTTCACCGGTGTCCTCTAAACCACCATCATAGTAAACAGTGGGGGCTGTGTCCTCCTGCGTTCTGAGAGCCCTCTGGCAGGTGCCAAAGTCCACAGAGCAGACCTCGGGAGCAGGTCTGTAGTCAGCCAGGAAGAAGTCCCAAGGCCTGGACTCACACCCGAGACCTGACATGAGGGCCACGGGGGCCGAGCCCCCGGGACCTGACACAGCCGTGCGCTAACTGCTGGGGCCTGGCAGTCACTCCGGTGGAGATTTCCCACGTTACAGTGGGAGGGACAGGGGTGATCCCAGACACCCAGTTCTTATGCTGCATCCCCAGTCCCTCCCCCAGGGAGCCGGCTGTGTAGATGCGGCCACGCGGCTGGGCCTCCAGGAGCTGCATCCTCAGCCCCTGCCAGCTCCAGGCTTTGCTGCTCTGCTCGGGGAAGCCCTGCTGGGCTGCTCTATGGGTGAAGAGGCTCTGGACTGAGGCACCAGGCTGGTTCGTGATGACAGCCGCCCCTCCTCTCAGGGATGCCCCAGACCTCGAGGGACCCCAGTAGCCAGCACCCAGCTCAGAGCAGAGCGAGCCCAGCATCGAGAGTATGAGCAGATCCACGTGCGTTATCTCAGACCCTCGGCTCAGGGAATGGCAAAACCTGACAGAGCCATGTGTTTCAGAGATTCTACAATGAAAAGCATAATGTAGATTTTATTTTTTTACAAAAGGTTCTTTTGAGACAGGGTCTCGCTTTCTAGCCCAGTCATGGTGATTCTCCTGCCTCAGCCTCCCCAGTGCTGAGATCACAGACATACGCCCCTAGGCCCAGCTAAAAATATTTTTTCCACCAACCTTCTTTGTAAAGAAGAAAAGAAGAAGGGAGGACAGGGAGGGAGGGAAGGACAGAAGGGAGGACAGAAGGGACAAGAGAGGGAAGGGAGAAAAGTGGGAAGGAAAACCAGGAATGCAGATCTGGGTCCAAACTCTGGCTGTACCATCCAGGAGCCATGCCAGCAAATGGCTCAAGACCTACCAGGCTTTTTCCCACCTCCCGACCTCAGGGAACTGCTTCTGGAATTAAAGGTAGCCACACTGGCAGCGGCCAGCAGGGTGCTCGCACATGGATCCTACTCCCTCCTTGTGCCGGCCCAGCCCGGCTGCGCCTGAGCTCTGCCCTCCTCGGTGCAGGATGCCGCTGCTCACATTTTATTCTGAGCTGATTCTCATCCGCGATCCCAGGACGAACAAGCCCAGCAACGCGACGTCCATTTAGTCGTCTTGGGAACGAGGGCCCAAGGGTGTGGCCAAAGGCCAGGAGCCCATGGCCACGGGCAGGGACCTGTGTGTCCCCACTCTGAAGCACTGAAGTCACACCAAGCTATCCAGGCCTGGACATTTGGACGCCGCCTGGCTACATTCAAGTGGCGTGGTGGTGCAGGCCTGTGATCCCTGCCCTGGGGAGGCTGAGGCAGGAGGATCGCTGCAAGTTCAAGGCCAGCCTGGCTACATAGTGAGTTCAAGTCCAGCCTGAACTATACAGTGAGATCCTATCTCAAAAAACAACAACAAAAATTTTTAATTAAAGAAATAAAGGCAAATCTTCCCCACACCAACTCAGATGTCATGCTTCTCTGGAAAGACCCTCAAAGACGCCCCAAAATGATGCTTTACCAGTGCTTCAGGAACTCCTCAATCCAGCCAAGTTGACACCATCACAGAGGTGAAAGATCTTTACACTGAAAAGAAATCGAAGAAGACATAAATAAATGGGCATAGATCCTGCATGCACGGGTTGGAAGAATTCATACTGTTAAAATGTGCAAACAACAAAGCAATCTACAGATTTGATGCAACCCCTGTCAAAATACCGATAACATTCTTCATACAAAGGGAGAAAATAATCCTAGAATTCACACAGAACCACAAAAGGGCTTCAAACAGCCATGTAATCCTGAACAAAAGAAACAAAGCCAGAGGAATTGTACTACCCCACTCCAAAATATCCTGCACATCTGCAGAAACTGAAACAACATGGAAGTGACATAAAAGCAACACAGAGATCAACACAGCAGAATGGAGAGTCAGGACCCGAGCAGGGAGAGACAGCTGCTACAGACGGTGGAGAAATGGGTCTCTCCCATGAGCAAAATCAACCCAGAATGGATTAAAGACACAAATGCAAGGCCCAAAACTATGCAACCATGTGAGAAAACATATGGACAGAGCTCTATAACAATGGTTTGGGCAAAGATTTTCTGTTAACCACAAAAGGACAGACAATAAATGTAAAAATAGATAAATGAGATTACATTAAACTCAAAAGCTTTTGCACAGCAAAAGAAACATTCAACAGAGTGAAAAAGTAACCTACAGAACAGGGGAGAATATTTACAAACTAACACATCTAATAAGGAGTTAATATCTAAAATTGACAAGGAACTTGATTCAGTAGTAAATAAACAATCCAATTTTTAAAAAACAGGAAAAAGACTTGCAGGGACATTTCTTAAAAGAAGACATAGAGGGTCAGGGATGTAGCTCAGTGGCATCGCGCCTGCCTTGCAAGCGAAAGGTCCTGAGTTCAATCCCTAGTACCAAAAAAAAAAAGAAGAAGACATAGAAATGGTCAACAGGTCCATGAAGAGGCCTTAGGAGTCACTAATCATCAGGCCAGGGAAATTGGAAACACAGCAGGATATCACCTTGCTCCTGTGTCAAAGACTATTATCAAAGACAGAAGGCACATGTGGGCAAGGATGACAGAAAAGGGATCCCTATTTGCTGCTGATGGGAGTGTCCATTAATTACAGCTTAAGGAAAACAGTATGGAGCTTCTTCAAATGGTGGTGCACCTCAGGAGGCTGAGGCAGGAGGATTACTGCAAGCTTGAGGTGCGCCTGGGCTACATAGTGAGTTCAAGGCCAGCCTGAACAACATAGGAAGACCCTATCTCAAAAAAAAACAATAAAAAATTAAAAATTAGAGTTAAAAATATAACTACCCTACGATCCAACAATCCCACTGCTGAGTATATAGCCAAAGAAAACGATATCAGTATGTCAAAGAGATATTGTTGCATACTCGTGTTTTTTAAAATATTATTCACAACAGCCAAGATACAGAACCCACCCGTGTTCATCACTGGGTAAATGGATAAAGAAAATGTATTTGGTGGAATACTACTTAGCCATAAAAAGTAAATCCTGTCATTTGGGACAACATAGATAAACTGGCCGACACATGAAATGAAATGAGCGAGGCACAGAAAGGAAATACCACACGATGCCACATATGGAGAACGTTAAAAGTTGACGCCACAGAAGTAGAGAATAGAACGGTGGATCCCAGAGGCTGAGGTCCAGAGGACTAAGGCGAGATCCGTCAGGGACGGACAGTGACAGTCAGCAGGAAGGACAATGAGAGGCTCTGTCGCAGCGGGCGGCAGCAGCCAATGCTGTGGGAGGCGTGGTCGAGAAAGGCAGGGTGGGTGTTGGCTTTCTCGCCATAAAGGACAATTCCGTGAGGCGAGGCGATGCCCTTGCTAATGAGCGAGGCTTAACCATTCCCCAACGGAGCTGCACCTCACAATGCCGTGCTGTATATGATAAATGCTTACTGTTGTGTACATTAGCTTTTAAAAAGCATTGTAAAGGGGCTGGGAGTGGAGCTCCGTCTAGGGCTCTTTCTTGCTTAGCGTGCATGAGGCCCTGGGTTTAATACCCAGCCCCAGAAAAAAAAAAAAAATGCATTTATGACACAGTTATTATTTGAATTTATTTAAATGTTTACTTCCAATAGAGCAGGCTGATAGTAAATAAATACATTAAACTTTGTAAAATCAATACCCTCTAAAACAAGGCTTTCTGGAGAAAGCATACAACCATATCTACATGACATCGAGGCAGGAAAGATGTGTTAAACAGAGTCCAAAAGCAATAACCATACCGCAGCAGGTAACAAAGCATGGCCAGGTGAACAGCGCGGAGGAGCATGGCCTGAGAATACACACGGCCGGTTCGGTCCCAGCTCAATCCACGCTCCCCAAAAGACTTCATGCAGACAACATGAGAGAGCCCAAGTACAGAACGCACTGTGGAGGGAAGTCTTTGCAACACATATATCCAAAGAATTCACGTCTGAAATAAATAAAGCCAGTCACACATCCTACAAGTCAATAACAAAAATGCAAACAACTCAAGAGAAAATTCATCAGGAGTCATAATCGGTTCTGACAAGGTGCCTAACCTCTTAGTCATCACAGAAATTCAGATTAAAACCACAGTGTCGGGCCCCTGCTTACCAACCAGAATCGCTGCAAGGTAACGGATGCTGGAGCCAATGAGGAGCGCCAGACAGCCTCGCAGCAGGGCGGTCGGGAACCTGGACAACCACTCTGGCTTCATGGACGCACAACACGCACACCACGTGCACCACGTACACCACGACCCGGGAAATTCACTCTCTGGCCTATAGCCCGCAGACATACATTCCTGTTCCTCAAAAGGCGCAGGCAAGAACACTCATAGAGGCTCTTTTCGGAAGAGAAGAACACCCGAAATTACCCAAGCATCCATCAAAATAAAAAATTAAAGCTATATATTCACTCAGTGGAATACTAGAGGGGAAAGAGATGAATGGACTGCAACTACCATACGTTGCACATCGGTCCCACAAAGTTGAGCAAAAGAAACTAGAGCAGAGGCTGGGGATTTAGCTCAGTGGTTTTGCCGCCTACTGCGCAAGCGCAAGGACCCAAGTTCGATCCCCGGTACCAAAAAAAAAAAAAAAAAAACTAGAGCAGAAAAATTATGTACTGCATTGATTTCATCCAACATTTAGCAGTTCACCTCCTGAGAAGACTCTGAATGTATCTGTTTCCACAATGTTTTTACTTATTTTCCTATGCTGCCAGTGTTGCGTTTTCCTAATTGTCCTTAGTTATACATTTCTTGAATTACAGTTAAGCTGCTTGGTTTTGCTTTTCCTTCAAACTTTTTAACCCTTTCTTATGAATTCAGAGGAAACCAGCAACAAATTTTAGAAGCTAAAGACAGAATCAAGACAGCTAAAGTGTAACCAGGCAGCTGGGCCTGGCTGGAATCCTCTAAGGGCTCAGGCTGACAGCACACCCGCTTCTGTGCAAGGCAGTGAGCAGTTAAAAAGCCTAAAGCACTGTAGGGCGGCAGAGAGCCAATGCGTACTTAGACGTCCAGCCTCCACCTTCACCCCATGCAGCTGGCTGCAGCCACCTTTCCCCAAACGGCACCAAGAGGGCCACCATCAAAAGGACCACCAACAGGCACTGCAGGCAGAGTTTAAGGCAAAGACAGTTAAAACCGAAGTTTGTTCCTGAGTGCTGTGCCGCCCGGCACCTGACGGATGTGGACGGCAAGCAGGTGGAGGCAGCACAGGCGCCATGATTGCTCCTCAACCCACCTCTTGGAGCTCAATAAAATGGCCTGCTCCCTAAAGACTGAAGAGATGGAACGAATCAAGGGGACCGCTGTAACTGGGAACAACAGCCACCCTTGAAGGGCATCACGGAAGGACTTTTTCAACGGGGATAGAAAAGTTCAGCCGAAATGAGCTGCCGCCCGCTGACTCACAGGCCTGTGAGTGTGGATCGTTAGGCATCTTGTCCACCAGCTCGTCCACTAGCTCATCAACCCCTCCAGGCTTCTACATTGCCTTGCCTCAGTTGTCTGCATTTCTTGAGCGGGCTTTTAGTTTCTTTTAAGATGATTTTCTGACAAATCTACAAACATCTGACTTCAAGTGCACTTGTATAACAGTGGTTCCTACGGCATCTCCAATCTACACCATTCATCATTCACCACTCACCAGCCTAGGCCCTTTCAGGAGTAGTTTAACAGTAATAACTTTCAAAATGTAATTTTTGTATGGGCAGAAATGATGACCGTTTGGCAGTTTCTGCTCTCATCTAGGGAGGCAAAACAGCAGAGAGAACTTGGACTGTGGGGTCACAGAAACCTGTTTTGGGGTCTTGGGTCCACTGCTGTGTTAGTCAGATCTCATTTACTGTGACAAAACACCTGAGAGCCAACAAGGAAGAGGGGTTGGTTTGGGCTCATGGTTTCTGAGGGTGCAGTCCATGGCTGGCTGCTCCACTACTCACAGCAGCCAGAAAGCAAAAAGAGAAGAGCTGGTCCAGAAATATCCTCGGAGGGTCTGCACCCCCAGTCACCTCTCTCCTTCCCCTCCCTCCTCCCACAGTGTCCAACCCTTCCCAGTGTCGCCACCACTATGGACCACGATTTCAATGCATGAGCCTTTAAGGTCTAAGCCATGACGACCACCTGGCTATCTAATTCTGAGCGCGTTACTTCATAACTTGGGGAGTGGAGTATTGGGTATCCAGCCCAAGGGTGCTCTACACTGAGCTACATCCCCAGTACCTTTTATTTTTTATTTTGAGACAGCATCCTACTAAGTTATCCAGGTGACCTGGAACTTACGATCTTCCTGCCTCAGCCTCATGAGTAGCTGGAATTACAGGTGTGAAGCAGTGATACTTTACAACTCTGATGCTCAATGTCTTCATCCATAAAGTGGATATATTAACGCCTACCTCTCAGGATTGCTGCTAGATTTCGACAAGAAAACAAACACTAAGAACTTGCATAATTAGCATTACATAGGAAACAGGAAGTAAAGCACTGCCTTGTTCTTAAAAGTATTAACCTACTTTGCATATCCAAGAGCTGAAATTAAACAC